CCAGAGGCAGTGTCAGCTGTGAGGGGGAGGGATCGCCTCCACCAGCTCTTCACAGCCCCCAGAGTGGGGCGGGGGCGGGAGGTTAGAAGCAGTTCAGGGAGCAGCTGAGATTCTGGTCACCAGCATCCCCATCAAGGTCTGAGGAAAAAACAAGGTCTCCGAGAATGGCAGGGGAGCTTGACGGGGGTGTAAGAGAAGGTGTCAGACTAAGACTCGAGGCTGGAGTTCAGGATGCCGGGGTCTCCAGCTTGCCTCCAGCTATACTTTTCAGACCCTGCGCAGAATAAATGTACTGTTCTGTACCACTGTTCCCTCCTAGGAAGGGCTTAGTTCTGGCTGACCCTAGGATGGAGGAATGATTGAAAGAGAAAGAGACATGGATACTTCAGAGGAAGAAAAAAGCACAAAGACCACAGATCCTGCCTTTGGGGATCTCCAGGTCTGAGGCAAAGATACAGGTGTGGGTTGACCACAGAGTCAAGGACAGGACTAGATGCAGGGGGTGGAGGCAGCGGCAGCGCAGGAGAGGAGCTCCGGTGAAAAGGTCTGGGGCAGCCATGAGGGCCGAGAGCCTGGGGACAGATGTGAGGAACAGCCCAGGAGGAGTGTGGCTGCAGAATCCCCTCCCCTGAGAAGTCAGCTCTATGGGAATCCCTGGTTTCCTGCCCTCATCGCCCTCTCCTTTCCCTGTTCTCTTCAGAGGTAGATGAAGACCGGATCCCCAACCCACATCTCAAGGTGAGCTGGCCCATCCCACTCAGCCCAGCCAGAGAACCCCCACGTTCATTAGGGGATTAGTCCTTAAAACCCTGCTGCCCATCTCTAGGATATTTTTGACTCCCACTTCCCTAGGCCCCTACCCACCAATGTACATGAGTGAACATATACACATGTACCACACACACACACACACACACACACACAGACACACACACTCTCTCTCTCTCTCTCTCTCTCTCTCTCTCTCTCTCACAGTCTCCTTGCTCACCATTGTCGAGGTGGTTGGGGAAGCAGGAGTTTTCTTCCCCCACTTTTTGAAGCTCACACCTACCCCAAGCTCCAATCCAAAAGCCTGGCAAGGCCAAGGAGGAGGGCAAGGGGGGCTGGCACCCATCTGTGCTCTGTGTCCTTCACAGTCCACTGTGGCAGTGTCTCCACGGCAACGGAAGAAGATGACAAGAATCACACCCACAATGAAAGGTTCGCAAGACCCCTCTCATCCCTTTTTTCTCCTCTACGCCTGAAGCTGGGGAGCACACCTACTGCCCTTTGGAGGGGAGGTCGTTAAATCTGCCTTGATTATGGTAGAGCTGTTGCTAGACGAACTGAGGCTGGAATCCCAGTTTTGCCACTGACTAGCTGGGTGGTCTTGGAAAAACTGCTGAACTTCCTGAGCCTTGAATACTGCCTCATTATAACAGATGAAATAATCTATGTGAACTCACCGGCACAGTGCACAACACGTACAAGGTACTCAAATTTTTCTTGAATCTCAATTGAGCCTTTCCACCTTCCCCCAGGGAAGACCATGTATCCCAGCAAGATAGGAGGATCCCTTGTTCTTAAAGGCACTCCTCCTACACCTCCCTCATCTGTGAAAAAGAGTACTTTTTTTTTTTTTTTTTGAGACGGAATTTCGCTCTTATTGCCGGGGCTGGAGTGCAGTGGTGCAACCGCGGCTCACCACGACCTCAGCCTCCCAGGTTCAAGTGATTCTCCTGCCTCAGCCTCCTGAGTAGCTGGGATTACAGGCATGAACCACCATACCTGGATAATTTTTTTTGTATTTTTAATAGAGACAGGGTTTCTCCATGTTGGTCAGGCTGGTCTTGATAACTCCCAACCTCAAGTTATCCGCCTGCCTCAGCCTCCCAAAGTGCTGGGATTACAGGCTTGAGCCACCATGCCTAGCGGAAAAGAGTACTTTTTATGGTCTAGCTTTCATCCCTCCTTATTGCCAGCTAATGTCCCCTCCTTGCTCAGATCTCAGTGCTTGGGAAAGTCAAACACCCAGCAATGCCTGCTGCCCCTTCAGGGAGGCTGCTGAATCTGGGGATCCACAGGGGAGACTCCAGGCAGATTCCAGGCAGTCATGTCCAGCGTTCCCTCCCTCTCTCTGTGTCCCCAGAGCTCCAGATGATGGTTGAACATCACCTGGGGCAACAGGAGCAAGGAGAGGAGCCTGAGGGAGCCACTGAGAGCACAGGGACCCAGGAGTCCCACCCACCTGGGATCCCAGACACAGAAGTGGAGTCAAGGCTGGGCACCTCTGGGACAGCAAAAAGTATGTTCAGGCTGGGAAGGGCCCCAGGTGTCCTATTTCCCAGCCCAGCAGGAGGCAAGCTTTACCCACTGGGGGGAGGGGAAAGAGCTGGAGCTGGGAGAGGCCTAGTGGTAGGTTAAAAACTGTCTCAAGGATATGAATCGATTTGCATATTCTGCTTATAGTACAATCTTCACCCTCCCTTACTGAATGACACCAAACCCTTCCAGGAACCTGAGAGATCTTCCCTGTGGCTACATGGGGGAAGCCCACTTCACGGGAACAGCACTCAGGCTAGAATCCTGGCTCTGCCACTTGCTGCTTTACCAGCAGAAAGGCCTTAATGCCGTAACCTCAGGGTATACAATGATAACGAGGATGCCTGTTGCAGTGGTTGTGTGTGGCTATTCAATGAGACTGGCTCTTAGCACAGCACCTGACATATGCCAAGCATGCAGGACGTGGAAGCTGGTAGCACTGGGCTATGGCCACAGCCCCTTATCCCAGATCTATTCCAGAACTCAGAACGCTTCCAATGTTATGAAGATACAGTATGTAAACCGTGTATCACATAGTATTCCCGGCAGAGAACCCTATAATCAAACACATAACATTTCTGCAATCCAATGAATGGTCTCACTAAGCAGAAAAAAGACTAAAAATAGTCTCCTATGAGTTCATGTCGGGTTTAGACACATATTGAGTTTTGTTTTTTAAACTGTTTTTAGAGGGTTTATTCTTTCCAGTTTTATTGAAGATTTTTTAAACGTGAACCTATAGTAGTAATGTGGTCAAAGAAAACCCTGTTGATCTTGCCTGATTGCATCCAACTTGGTCTTGGGGCCCTGTCGGGGCCACTGAGGTACCGGATGCAGTGAGGTGAAGCAGTTCCCTCCCCAGTGCATTTATGAATGCTACCTCTTCCTCCCACCACCTATTTTCTCTCCCCAGAGCCTACAGAATCCATCCCTAAAACTCAGGAGAGAGGCAGTAAGGAACCCAGCACAAAGGAACCCTCAACCCATATACCACCATTGGATTCCAAGTGAGCCAACTCGGTAAGACCCCAGGGCTGGGCTGCCAGGTGGCAGGAGAGGAGGCTGTGTGGACAAAAGCAAGGGGCTAGTATTTGGAGTCTAGGAAAAGGGAAACAACCAGCTTCAGTCCCTGAAGAGTTATCCTTTATGGTAAAAGGACTTGCATCTCCTCTGACTGACAAAAAGAAATGGATAGCTGCAGCAAGAAGGATTGAGATTAGACTTTGTGTGGGACTTCTGGCTCCTGGAATGGGTGATAGCAGTAGGCCGTGAATTTTTTGATAAAGGGGATTTGGAACCCAAAGGGAGATCCACACCTGCCCAGGTGAGGTGGGCGGTGGCTCTCCCTGCCTGGAGGATGCATTGATGAGGTGACTTCCTGAGCTTTGACTTCACAATCCCCAGCCCCCCCGCACAGACTGGACAGAGGAGAGACTGCTCAGACATGAGAACAAGCTTCCTCAGACGTTAGATGTTGACACATGGGATGGCCAGCAGGGGCAGGGACAGAATGACCCTCTGGCCTCTCACCTTCTCTTTCTGCCCCTTCCTCCATAACAGGTCTGAGAGAGGAGGAGGTATCGTGGAATCAGGACTGCAGGCTGGGAATGCATGGACACCGGATTTGTTTCTTATTTCTTCACTTTTGGGGAAAATCTCTTGTTTTTAAAAAGTGATAAATTTGGTGTTAGGTCCTTGGCACTTTCCTTCTTTCTCGACTCGGAGAATCCTTTCTCCCGCCTTCTTGTGCTGCTAGCTGCAGCCCACCCCCACCCTCCTGCCGAGCTGCCTCGGAAAGGAAGAACTAGAGGAGCGGGCAGAAGCCTTGAGCAGGGAAGAGTTCTTCCCCTAGCCCTGACTTGACTTGCTGTGGGAAGAGAAGTGAGGGTCAGATAGGTGGGAGGACTAACTTCCAGGGTGCCACGCAGGAAGAAAAGGCCCAGGTTTTTTCTTATTGAGGAATGATCAGACCACCTGGCAGGCCGGCCCTGCAGCTGGAAGACTTGGCGCTCGAAGGCCTGTACCGGGTCCAGCTGGGACTGTGCTGTGGGCGCCATCTGCCGGACAAAAGGGGAACTGCGCCATGGCACTTGGCCCCTGGGAAAGAGGGTGCGGTGGTGTGCGGATACCTCCTCGCCTGTCCGAGCCTCAGCTGCCTTCCTTTTGGATTCCCAAGCCTCAGGATGTGTTCCCTCTTCCAGCTGTGGGACCGCCATCCCTTATTTCAACCCGTTAGCAACACTGGATAGACAACACAGTGGCTCATAATGAAGAGGCCACGCTGGAGACTGGAAGGGTCCCCTTGTCCTAGACACTGAGGAGCCCAGATAAGACACGGAACAAACATAAGAGAAGAAACTATCTCAGATCTCACAGCCAGGCCTCTCTCCTGCTGCTGTTTTTGATTTTCCTAGGTAGTGGGAGAGAGGAAAGCGAGGAAGGCCAGATTTGCCTCCTCCCCGCTGGAGCATGTGGTACAGACGAAAGAGAGAGCCTGAGAAGCGTCAGGCCCCACTTCTGCCACGCACCTACTGTGAGCCCTCGGGCATGGCCCCCTGTCGGGGCCTCGGCTTGCCCAGATAGATACCGCTATATCTATGTAACGGAGAACACCTCACCCAGGTTTTATCATGCTGAAAAAAGAGTGTATGTACGTGAAGACACTCTGTCCACTTGCACCCAGTGAACACACACAGTCAGGCATGGTCTCCCTTCTTTATTGTTCTCTGGCTACAGCAGGGGTCTGGGAGACCAAGGGCAGGGGTGAGTCACATGCGTCTCTGCCCTACTCGGGGTGGGGTGGGGTGGAAGTATTGGGGTAGCAGGTCTAGGAGACCATGGATACGGATTTCGCATGAACAGGGCCCACTGTACAAATGCATGGTTGGTATTTACAAGAAAGAAAGAGGGCAGTCACCTGGACTTTGGCCTTTCCTGGGGTGAGGTGGGAGCAAGGAGGAGCCTGAGGAGAGGAAGGGGCTCCGCGCCTGGCTGGGTTCTCTCCGGAGGACAGGAGAGCAGCAGCCCTGAGCCCTCCTCCATCTGCCTTTCACCCACTACCCACCACTTGTCCCAGAGGAGGAGCTTCTTAGGGCCTGCAGCTGGACCAGTTCTGAGAGGTGGCAAGGAAAGGACAGACCCTCTCTTTTAGTAACACAGGTTACTGGATTACCTCACCCTCCCCAGGTACCCTTGACCCTAACCCAGCTGGCGTCTCCTGCCTGTGCTCGTAAGATACACCCTGAAGGTGCTTTGCTGGGGAGATCTCAAAGCACTTTACAGACATTGGTCGGATGGGAGCCTCCCAGCCCTACGGGACAGAGCGGAGGCAAAGGGCTCGGGACTCAGCCAGGGCAGGTGGCAAGCCCTGGGGCCCAGACCAGTCCCAAGGAAGGTCCCAGGAAAGGGCTCCCGCAGCCCCTGGTCACAATGGCTCCTTTTTCCCCGTCACTGAATCAGAATGGAAGAGAAGGAAGATTGCAGAGGATCAGGCTGGAGATGGGCTGAAGCAGTGCAGTTGTGGGGTGAAGAGGATGTCCTACCCACCCCATTCCCCGGTCCTAGAAAGGTACCATGCCCTGAAGGAACCCACTCCCCTCCCCCCACACACAGGGCTCTGAAAACCCCCAGCTTTCTATTCTATTCCAGCCCTTCCCAGGGGAGGAAAAGGGGGACCCAGACCTGCCAGCTAAGATCTGGGGTGGGGGGCTGAGGGAACCCCCAAAATGTATTGCTTAGAAACTTGGAGGCAAAAAGGATGGGGGAGGGAGCAGGGGGCTGGCATCTCTGACCCTCCCCCAAGGCCCTGGGAAGCCTCCAGGAAGCTCCCCGCTCCCAGGCAGCCACTTCGCGATGAAGAGAATCCAGAGGCTGAGGGATGGGCACAGTGACCATTGGGAGCCTGAAGTTCCCCAGCCTTGCTGCCGGGACATGAAAGTGTGCCCCAGTGGGTGTCAGGTGGGGAGAAGCCCTTTCCCCAACCCCAAATCTCTGGCATTTGGCCTTCGGGTGGGTTGTTTCTTCCATGACCACGCTCCCTTGGAGCAGATGGGGGAGCCAGTCCTAATGGATGGTGCTGATGACATCAAACACTTTGGACTCAGTGAAGACCTGGGAAAAGAGGGAGAAGCTTCAGTGTCCCGAGCTTTGCCTTCGCCTCCAGCCTGACCTTCCTTCTCCAAGTCCTGATCCCCACTCGGACCCGAGTAGAGTTGTGCAAAAACTCCCCTTCAGAAGGGTGCCTAACCAAGGGGGAGAGTAGGGGCGAAGTCACGTTCAGCCACCCTCACTGAGCCTTGGCTGGGCTCCTTTTCCCCAGCCCTCCTTAAGGGACAGAGCAGGGTAGCTGTCGCCTGGCACAGCCCGCCCTGTTCTGCTGCTGTTCTGAGGAACTCCCTCCTTTTTTCCCACAGGGACCAGGGGACAGAAGAGGTGGGAGGACTTCCCTGCTCCACCCACACTTTGGCTCCATTCTGTGTCTTTACTCCCTCCATGTTACTGCTCAAAAGAGGGAGGGAGAATCTCACATCCATCGGAGCCCAGAGATGACCCATCAAGATGCCAGGGTAGACACAGCTATATCCCTCACCACCACAGGCTCACCTGGGCCAGCCCCAGGGCTAATCCAGATTCCCATTCTGGTTATGTTCATCTTCCACAGGGGAGGGCGGGGCCTCTTCTTCACAGGGGGACAGCTCGTCAATGGACATCTGGTTGGTGATGCCTGCAGAGGAGCGTAAAGGAAGCTAAGCTTAGCCCAAGAAGTATTCTTCCCCAGAACCCAAGGAGTATGTGGGAAAAGTAAGCGATTCACCTCCATCACCCTGCCTTCAAGCTGAACTGCATTCAACCCATCCCCATTTAGGAAGAGCCTCTCTAGCCTTGCTAAAATTCAGAACCTTCAGCACCACCCTACCACCGCCCCCCGCCCCCACCATAAAGGAAGAGATTTCCCAACCAGGCCCACCAAATTAGCCAAATCTACAGGGACACCATTTACAGGGACCACAGTGTGCACAGGGACCCTGGGGTTGTGGAACATCCGGCTGTCTATCATCTCTCCACTACCATTTTTAGAACAGTCCAGGCCACTCAGCCAGTCTTTCCTGTGGTCTAAATGGTCTGATCAGTTCCATTCCCAAGTCAAGGAGTCCAGTGAAGGGTTTCCCCAAGGGCTTAAGAAAAATGGACCTCCTAGTGCCCCAAGAGCCATCCACACAAGTTCTCACCCCCACCCTCTGCCCTGGTACCCACCACTCGCTGCCCGTTCCTTCCATTTCTGCTTGTTCTCCTGAATGCGCTTGAGCCAGGTAGAACGAAAACTGACCACGTCAGGGTTGGGGTCTCCCACTTCCACATCGAGAGAGGGCTGGCGCCACTGAAAGCTAGAAGCAGAACCCCCCAACAGCCCCAAGAGGTAAGACCTAGCCCACCCCAGAGCCACCTTAGCCCTGGGATTGGAGGACATGGAAGACCAGGAGAAGGTTCGGGGAACTTTGTCTTCCTCTTTTTCCCCCTACGAGATACTCCCCAAAGTCCCTGTACCTCTCCCGCTAATTTCACTCCTCCCTCTCCACATCTTCCCTCCTGGTAGAAGAAAAATTAAAACAAGATTACCCAGAAGGCAGTAAAGACAGAGCCAATGGAAGAAACAAAAATATGGTGAAGGGGAGCACAGGTGCGGGTCACACCCCTTGTGCTCCCATCCTCCTGCCCCTGACTACAGAGGGACTCCCAAGCTTGAAGCAGCCTGCCTCCCATCACCCCACCATAGCTGTGAGTCCGTCTTCTCTGTGAGTCCAAATCCCTCCCTACCTCTGCCTTCCCAAACCAGGATAGCTGGCTACGCCAGCCACCCTCACCTGGGCTGGTTTTTAGACTTGGAGTCTTCGTCCGACAGGGGCTGAACACTCTTCTCTGCCACATCAGTCAGCACAGAGAACGTGGGCTCCACAATGAAGTCGATGAACCCTGCAGTGGAGGAGCGATGCCTTGGAGATGTCTTAATATTATCTGGAGGGCTAGGCAGAGGATCCGGCTGGCATGGCCTGAACCCCTGGCTGCTTATAAAAGAGGGTGGAGAGGCCACTGGGGCTGGAAACTTCCCAGTGCGGGACAGGCTTTGGGATGATGTCTTGGTGCCCCACAGAGCTCCTCCCTGCCATTGCAGCCCCCCGCTTCCCATCCCAGGACCCCACACTCTAGCACAGCGGGTTTTCCTCTACAGGAAGAATGGTATGGGGGGTTGAGGACTTGGAGCAATCCTGGCCCAGGCAGCATCTTTTCCCCTTCCCAGTCCTCCCTCCCTGCAGGATAGGACACTCACCTATCTGAGACTGTGCCACCAGGGTGGAAGTGCGGTCACAGAGTGGAGAAAAGGGCAGGCCCAACTCTGCTTCCTTGTCGCCCTGGAGGAGACAACAGGGTAGGAAAGCTGGAGAGAACACCTCAGACCAGGTGTCCCCAAACTTTTTACACAGGAGGCCAGCTCACTGGCCCTCAGACCGTTGGAGGGCCGCCGCATACTGTGCTCCTCTCACTGACCACCAGTGAGAGAGGTGCCCCTTCCTGAAGTGCGGCGGGGAGCCGGATAAATGGCCTCAGGGGGCCACATGCAGCCCGCGGGCTGTAGTTTGGGGACACCTGCCTGAGACCCACCAGATCTGGGCTATAGGTGCGGGGCAGGGGGTTGTTGGGCGAACTGTCTGCACCCTTGACCTGGAAATGAGCGATATGCAAATGAAGTACATGCAAATGAAATGCAACCATTGTTAGGCTGTTAGGATAACAGGATTTTACCCCAGGGATTTGGGATCAGGTCAGTGGCTACAGGTAATGAAATAAGGATATGGAATAGGAGTGGGCAACTTGGAGGGCAAAAGGGGAGAGAAGGCCCCCATGGCACGGGGCGGGCAAAGATGCCACGCTACCTGGCGGAAGAATTCCTCCATGAGGGCCTTGGTCCAGCGGCTGTGGACCAACCACTGCTTGGTTGGGTGGCTGATGTCAGCAGCATGGAGCAGTAGAGACAGGGCCTTGGGCTTGTCAATCCTGGTTGGGGCAGATGGCAAGGGAAGGGAGACTGAGCTTTTAGTACAAGGATACCTGCACCACTCCCTAACTTCCCAGGCCTCACTCTGTCGCCCAGGCGGGAGAACAGTGACACAATCTCAGCTCACTGCAACCTCTATCACCTGGGTTCAAGTGATTCTCCCACCTCAGCCTCCCAAGTAGCTGGGACTACAGGCGCCCATCCACCACACCCAGCTGATTTTTGTATTTTTTTTGGTAGAGACAGGGCTTTGCCGTGTTGGCCAGGCTAGTCTCAAAACCGGACCTCAAGTGATCCACCTGCCTCAGCCTCCCAAAGTGCTGGGATTACAGAGCCACCATGCCCAGCCTCACGTAACCTCAAACACCCTCCAAAGCTACAGACACACACACACACAGACACACATACCCCACACTGACACACAGACACACATTTAACATATGTTTAGGTAGCAGCACAGGTTAGTAGCTGAGAGCCCAGGCTCTTAGAATCAAAGGGCCTGGGTTCAGATCTATACCCACGCTACACTTTAGCTGTGTGACATTGAGCAAGTGACTTAAAATTTCCATATTTCATTTTCTTCAACTCTAAAATGGAAATAACAACTCTACCACATACTGAGTAGTTCTGAGACTTAAGTGACAAACAACAAATACGTATTCAGGAGCGTGTCTAGCACATAATAAGTGCTCACTAGATATTACTTAGAAGAATAATAATTATTATTATACCCTTACCAATGACCTGCTGTGACACTGCATACTGTCCCACACATAAATACCATAAACAGAGATTAACACACACCTTCAGCACACACAGACACATACACACACACACACACACACACACACACATATTTATACGCTGCCACACACTTTTAAGCAGCATTAGATGTAATTACGCATTTGTTCGGTGCATTTTTTTAACCTCACACGACTCTCCCTATACCCCTATGAGACTGGGAACCCGGGGCAAGCTGTCATAGGGGGAGGCACATCATTTTCACCATTTCAGAGGTAATAAAACTGGGGTTCACAAGGGTTGAATGAATTTTCCAACATTCAAGGGTAAGCCTGTCCCAGAGCTTCGATGAGAACCCCCCATCTCAGATTCCCAGCTCAAAGCACTCTCCAGTGGATCAGCTGCCTAGTCTGTACATAAACATAAGGAGACATACACACACACGCGCACACACACACACACACACACGCACACACGCAGTCAGACACCTGGAGCCAGTGGAGTCTCTGCATCCAGGTAAAGACCTGGCACACCAACTACCCATGTGTACACCTTCCGGTTCACACACCCCTCCCTCTGGCCTGGCCCCAGCCACACCCCACCAGATACCACCTCTCCAGCTGCTGCAAGGCGGTCTTCATGGTCTTCACTTGCTGGAAATGGCAGGACATGTCCGTGGCCAACACCATCTCAATGACCAGGGCTCGGAGCTCTCTGAGTTGACAGAAAAAGAAGTGATCAGCCCCCTTGGCTCTGAGGGGCAGGAGGTCCAGGGAGTGGAAAACGGGGTTTGTGATAAGGGAGTCTTAGGGATGCCAAGTACTGGCTTATGCTCACACAAACTCATCCTTGGTGAGGTTGATGAAAATGTTCAACTCATCATCCTGCATCAGTCGGAAAACAGAGCTGATGTGGTGATTCTCCAGCACTGAACGATCATTGTACAGGATGGCACATTCTGACCTACAAAGCCAAAGGTCATCATGCCCACCCCATGTAAGGAGGGGTTCTGGCAACCTCCCCCACCTCCACTTGGCCCCTCCTGCCCCGCCACATCCCCACGCCTCACTTGGTCTGGATGTGGAAGCTGTTGGTAGTGCCCGTGTGCTCATAATCATGAATGGCTGCAGCAAAGATGATGGCCAGGACCTCAATCTCCGACAGGCAGTGCTACAGGAGGAAAGGGACAGGCTGACCCCTGCTGGCCACTGCCCAAGAACCTCCACACACAGGCTAGACCACTCACCCCATCCCTCCCATGCCTCAAGGCCAGCTCTCATTAATGCAGCCAGGTTTCTCAGCTCCTGGAATGGCCAAGGACCTTCCTCCATCCAAACCTGCGGCGTTCCCACTGCATCCCAGCACACCTCCCTAGCACTGTCCAAGAAGTTTTAGTCTACCTGCAAATTCTCTAGAGTGAATTCATCCAGTTTGACTCTGCAAAGGCTTCGGAGTGCCCAAAAAGAACCAAAGAGAAGCAGCAGAAATGGGACTACAGTCTAGACTTCCCAGTTTTGTAGCCCCAGGCCCTGAATCACAGAAGAATGATCAGGGCACCTACCACCATCCCTGTGCGGAGCAGGAAGCAATGGACTGTCTGGGTAACATCAGCTGCGTGGATCTGATTGTGGTAAGGATTCTTGTACTTCCCATAGCCTGTCTCCAAGGCATCCAGGAAACTCATCAAAAACACAGTGGGAATCTGCAGGGGGGTGGAGGGAATGGAGATATATGATGGATCCACAGGAATCATGGTGACTATGGACCAAGATCAACAACCCCACCTTTCTTTAGAAGGCAGTGTGGCATTGGGAGAGGTCACACGACCTAGCCACGTGAGCCTGGGCTCATATCCTGCCTCTACCACCTGCTGGCTGTGCAACCTTGGGCAAGCCACATGCCTCTCTGTGCCTCAGATCCTTAATTGCAGAATGAAGATAATACCACCCACCTGGAATTTAATGAGATAAGTACAAGGCCTTTAGTAAATGCTCTCTAAAGAACAGCTATAATTATTATTATTTCCCTGGAGATTTCCAAGAAAAGGAAAGAAAGCTTCCCTCCTACCTTCCAACCACCCCACTCCATCCCCAAATCCAAAACCATGAAGAAGGGGTGGGAAGCAAGGGAAAGAATCAGATGACCTTGAGAGGACTCTTCTAGCCAGATGTGGCTCGCCCTCTCCTTTCAGAAGCCCTCCCGGACCCCTACCCCCCACATGCAGCAGTGTCCATACCCTCAGGCCCACAATACACACACAAAAGCACCCAGAGCCAGGGCTCTGTCCAGCTACTCTGAATTCTGTCCCTGTCTCTGTGTACGCCCTTACGGTATGTCTGCCCACGTCAAAAGGCTCAAGGCTCCCAGAGGACAGGGCTGGTGATCTGTCCCTGGATCTCTTGAGGCTAGGAGGGGACCAGGACTCGGGAGGCTTCCGTAGAGATGAGCAATACAGTAACAGAGACACAGAAGGAGCACCACTAGTCAGTCAGACCCTAACATTCCCCACCTGCACCCCTGGAGGGCTGTGCCCCAAATTCAGAAAATTTTAAAGGACTGTTTCCATGACAACTGCCCTTGCTTTTGCGTTGCCATGGCGTCCCTGGAGGAAAAGGAAGAAAAAGGGAGGAGCAGGGGAGGGGCTAGGTACCCAGGAAGAGAAGGTGGAGTCTGAAAAGGGCAGCTCCTCCTGGCGCTACCATCCGAGAACACTAAAACCATAACCCCTCCTTCCTCTAACTGCCTTGGAGCAAAGCAGACTGGGCCTAGGCCAAACCCAACCCAACACAGCTACTGTTGGGGTCCCCCAAAGCCAGGCCTTGCAGGTAAGGAGGCAGAGTTTAGGAGAAGCTAGTGACTGATGTCTAGAGCCAGTTTGGAGAAACACGAGCTGGGAAAAGTCTTAGGGAAAAGAAAGCCCCTGCTATTCTCTGTCCTGGAGAGGGCAGGATTGGAAAGAAGAAAGTAAAACTGCAGAACAGGAAGAAAAGTTCAACTGACCATTGCAGGAAAGTTTTGAAAACTCCCGAGGGAGTTGCTGTAAAAGGAGGAATCAAGGGTAGAGGAAAGGCTCACAGGCACAAATAATTTGTTCTAGTGAAGTGAAGGCAGAGGATGGATGAAAGGACCTCCAGAAGCCAGCCTGGGAGGGGACCCTCCACCTATACTCCTTGGACTGCCCCTCTCTATGGCCCTTCAGAGCACCCACGTTTCCCTTCGCCTTTAACATCTACTGCTCCCCAGAGTGCTGACCCAATATCCCCATCACGACTCTTCAACCTCCCTTACCCTCTACTCCCAAATGTGGTTTTTCCATGTGAAAGTGTTTTGTTTTGTTTTGTTTTTTTCCTGGCACTTTTTCCCTCCCAAAAGATGCTGCCTCCTGGTGTAGCATCTAGGAAGGACTTTAATCTCATATAATTCTTCCCATCCAGACAAGCTGAAGAGCAAATGAGGTTCACACACCCTCCTGCTGTCATACAACCCCACCCCGGCCCTGTCAAGAGCTGACCCTCTCCATATAATTCCCTGCACAGAGACCAGAACTGGGGGACAGGGGAGGGATTGGTCAATTTTATCCAGGAAACACATGGATTCTAGTCCCAAAGGGCATTGGCTGACAGCATCTGAACTCCAGGCCTCCAGTGTCCACACCGCAAGTCAGCCTAGAGAAGACAAGTTGAGGGAAAAAAGCAAAGAGGGAGAGGGCAGAATCCCAGGCTAGATGGATGCAGACCTAGACTCTCCCCCTAGAAAGCAATTAATGAAGTCTGGAACTAAGAGTGCAGCAAGTAAAAGAAAGGCTACACTGGAGCAGGGGGCGGTGGCTCACGCCTGTAATCCCAGCACTTTGGGAGGCTGAGGCTGGTGGATCATGAGGTCAGGGGTTCAAGACCAGCCTGATCAACATGAGGAAACCACGTCTCTACTTAAAAATACAAAAAAAACAATTAGCCAGGCATGGTGGCGCACACCTGTATTCCAGCTACTTGGGAGGCTGAGGCAGGAGAATTGCTTAAACCCGGGAGGCAGAGGCTACGGTGAGCCAAGAGTGCGCCATTGCACTCCAGCCTGGGCAACAGAGCGAGACTCCATCTCAAAAAAATTTTTAAAAAGGCTAGACTGGGCATGAGTGTGGGGAGACTTCCCTGATGTTGAGACTGAGGAATCTGTGAAATCTGTTTGTTAGGAGGCTTTTAGAACAGGCATGAGGGGAATGGAGAATCCCGCCTGGAGGTAGAGGTAGGATGCTGCCCAACCTTGAAGCGACTGATGAGGTTATGCCGAGTCAGCAACTCAAAAACAATGGTCCTCAGGGCATGGTCATCTGCTGCCCGGTTCAAGGAAAAGACATCAAAGCACCAGAGATCCAGGTTCTGTGGAGAAACAATAGACTATGTTGCTTTCCAGCAGCAGCAAGCGTTGAAGTTAGACTTCAAAAAGGACTTCCCATGAGTACAAAGTCTTGGTAAATAGGAAAGAAAAGAGATGATGAAATGTGCCTCTTTCTTCCCATATATCTCTCAGCATGGGAGAGACAGGAAGGTAGAAATTTGCTCCTTGAGTGAGCAAAAGCTGTTTTGATGAATGTGGGAACAACAGTTAAAACGGAAGGCAGGCTGGGTGCGGTGGCTCACACCTGTAATCCCAGCACTTTGGGAGGCCAAGATAGGTGAATCACCTGAGGTCAAGAGTTCGAGACCAGCCTGGCCAACATGGTAAAACCCCATCTCTACTAAAAATACAAAAATTAGGGGCCGGGCGCGGTGGCTCAAGCCTGTAATCCCAGCACTTTGGGAGGCCGAGGCGGGTGGATCACGAGGTCAAGAGATCGAGACCATCCTGGTCATCATGGTGAAAGCCCGTCTCTACTAAAAATACAAAAAAATAGCTGAGCATGGTGGCACGTGCTTGTAATCCCAGCTACTCAGGAGGCTGAGGCAGGAGAATTGCTTGAACCCAGGAGTCAGAGGTTGCGGTGAGCCGAGATCGCGCCATTGCACTCCAGCCTGGGTAACAAGAGCGAAACTCCGTCTCAAAAAAAAAATAAATAAATAAATACAAAAATTAGCTGGGCATGGTGGCGGGTGCCTGTAATCCCAGCTACTTGGGAGGTTGAGGCAGGAGAATCACTTGAACCCGGGAGGCAGAAGTTGCAGTGAGCTGAGATTGCGCCACTGCACTCCAGCCTGGAAGACAAGAGAGAGATTCCATCTCAAATTTTAAAAAAGGCCGAGTGGGGGGAGGCAAAAATCATGCCATAAACAGGGTCTAGAAGTCTCAATGGCTATTCCATCCACCAACCTTCTCCTCTTTCCCGAAAACCCAGAGTCACCTTGAGACAGTTGAGGACAGCAGTAGAATAAGTGGGGCCCACAGAGGTGTATGTTCTCCGGAACATCCTAAGAGAGAGCAATGGAAAGAAGCCCACATAAGAAGGTCTGGGAGTAAAGGTCTGGCCAGCTGGGGATACGGGGATGAGCCATGGGATCATATGGCTGATGGTCATGGAAGACTGGGGTGGCTGGGAAAGAGGGCCACAGCCAGAGTACGGGCAAGCCTCACCGTTCCACGAAGATCCCAGCCTGCACAGCATGCACAATGCTTCGAAACTTGGGCTTCTCCTCTGCTCGGCGGCCTTTGGCCCGGGCCTGCTGGGTGAAGGTGGAGGCCAGCCAGTCCCGCACCTCCGAAGGCACAGCATCTGACCGCAGCTCCTGCAGCTCGTCCTCCGTGTCCAGGATTTGCCTGAGACCCCAGAAGGGGAGTCACAGAGGAAAGACAGCAGGTTTCCACAGCCTAGAGACCCTGTACCCAGCCACACCCCACATTTAGTAACTCTCATGCCAGCTCGCTCTCTGTCTTCAACCCTCCTCTTTCCTTTCTTTTTCTCTATCTAACATCTGCAGTAATGAAACAGGTCTCTGTGTGAGGTAGTGAGCATCCCAACTCTGGAAGTGTTCAAGCAGGAAACGGAATGCATCTTTCAGGGGTGCTATAGAGCAGCATCATCCAATAGAAATAAAATGCAAGTCATATATATGAAATTTTAAATTGTCTAGTAGGCCACATTAAAAAGGTAAAGACAAACAGGTCAAATTTGTTTCAATGATAAATTTTACTTTATTTATTTATTTATATATGTTTTGAGACGGAGTCTCGCTCTGTTGCCCATGCTGGAGTGCAGTGGTGTCATTTCGGCTCACTGCAAACTTCGCCTCCTGGGTTCAAGCGATTCTCCTACCTCACCCTCCCAAGTAGCTGGATTACAGGAGCCCACCACCACACCTGGCTACTTTTTGTATTTTTAGTAGAGACAGGGTTTCACTGTGTTGGTCAGGCTGGTCTTGAACTCCTGACCTCAGGTGATCCAACTGCCTCAGCCTCCCAAAGTGATGGAATTATAGGCGTGAGCCACCATGCCCAATGATAAATTTTATTTTACCTAATACCTCCAAATAATATCATTTCAACATGAAACCATTTGTGTGTGTTTGTGTGTGTGTGTGTGTGTGTGTGTGTGTGTGTGTGTGTGTATTTTTAGACAGGGTCTCACTTTACTGCACAGGCTGGAGTGCAGTGGTGTGATCACATCTCACCGCAACCTCAGCCTCCCCAGCTTCTGGTGATCCTCCCCCTCAGCCTCCAAAGCAGCTGCGACTACAGGTGTACACTACCCTACCCAGCTAATTTTTTAATTTTTTGTAGAGACAGGGTTTCATCATGTTGCCCATGCTGGTCTCGAACTCCTGGGCTCAAGCAATCAGCCTGACTCAGCCTCCCAAAGTGCTAGGATTACAGGCATGACCTTATAAAATATGTTAATGAGATATCTTACATTCTTTTTTCTAAATCTTTGAAATCCATCATGTATTTTGCATACACATTTCAATTCATACTTGCCACATTTCAGGTGCTCAACAGCCACCCAGAATGGTGGCTCCCATTTTGGGCAGCACATGTCTAGAGGTATTCCACACTGGGGCAGATGAGCCTTAAGGTCCCTTCCAACTCTGAAGCAGTCATCTATCCTTCTTGATATCTGTGTTTGTCTCTATCTCTGCGCCTCTATGTCTGCCTCTGCCTCTTTATCTCTACCACTGTTTCTGCCTGGGTACCTGGAGCTCTGTTTTTGTTTTTGTTTTTGTTTTTGTTTTTGTTTTGAGACAGGGTCTTGTTCTGTCACCCAGCCTGGAGCTGCAGTGCAGCAGTGCGATTTCAATTCACGGCAAAGCCTCTGCCTCCTGGGCTCAAGCCATTCTTCCACCTCAGCCTCCCAAGTAGCTAGAACTATAGGAGCTGCCACCATGCCTGGCTAATTTTTTAACATTTTTTGTAGAGACAGGGTGGTCTCAAACTCCTGGGCTCAAAGAATCTACCCAATCTTGGCCTCCAAAGTGCTGGGATTACAGGCGTGGGCCACTGTGCCCAGCCACTGCCTAGAGCTCTTTTTATCTGGTCCAGCCTCTCTCTTCCAGTCTCTGTCCATGCCACACCTGCCCGCTCTCATTCTGTCGTTCTCTCTCACCGTGTCTCATCTATGTAGACAGCCTCCAGCAGAGAAGCGGTGTACTCCAGGTTTTTCTTCAGCTCCTCGATGTTTACCTCCCCGTTTTCCAACTGCTTCACCATGTAGCGCAGCCTGCAGGGAGCAGATAGAGAGAGGCCACTTGGGCACAGCTACCTTGTCATGAGGAGAGGATACCCCCTAATAAGGTACATTTTACAGAAACATCCTCGGTCTTTCATCAATAGTTAATAATTCTAACATTAATCATCATAGCAGCTAATGTTTCTTTTTTAATATCAAGCTATTGCCACTGCCTGTATGAAGTTTATCTATACCCAAAGTTTAATGCCAAGCCTTCCTGACTCTGCCATCGCCCCCACCATCTGACCTCTCAGTGGCACCGCTTTCATCAGTGCTTAGTCTTGTTTAAACTGCCAGGGCCCAGCAGAATTGGGCAGATACAAGCCCCTGGAGTGATGTTTTTAGGACGATCTGTTTTATAGCCTGAATAACCAAGAGTTGAAACAGCTTATTTCTCCCCATGGAAGAGGGCTTTGGGATCAATAGCAATCAAGATAGCCCCCAAGAATATTTCATTGTCTCTTGGTCATGGTGTGGGGGTGGGGGTTACATGTCCACAGCCCCTCTGTGCCTGGCAAGGGTGGCAAAAGCACAGAACAAAGACAAATCTGAATGCTGTTGCCTGGCCTCTCTCCATGCAGGCAAAGCTAATGGATTATGATTCCAGAATCCATCAACCAGGACAAAGCCAGGTTAACCCCTGCCTCTCCAGTCTTGCACCAGAGAGAACTTCTGACAGTTACTGTTCCCACCCCACGCCTCTGTACTGAGGAAGCTTCCTCCAGAATAAAAGTGCTGGGGTGGGGCCAGGAATCTCACTCACTGGATGCTTTGCCCGAAGGGACAATCCCCTCCTGTTTTAAACTTATGAATGCTGGGGTTTGATGATTAACTGGGAGATTTCTTAGAAGTCTGATGAGTCTAGCCCAAGCAGTCACAAAACAAACAAAGCTCTTCAGATGGTGATTTTAATGAAAGCAGTTAAACATTCCTTTCCCTCACCCTGCCCCACCCACCTAAAACCAGCCCAGGGCTGAAATGGTGGCCACCATAATTCCCCACTGCGAGGGGCTTCAAAAACCCAAGGTCAACCTATGAGTCAGGGAGGAGAAGAGAATGAGTCAGGGACCAGAGGCTGAAATTAGCATCCATTCCTAGGGATGCCGGGGGAGGGAGAACAATGGCGTTCCTGAACAGAAGTAGCTCTAGAATCCCAGGGTCTCGGCAGCTTTGGAATAGGGGTGCCCAAAATAGCCAGCCCCAGGAAGCATCACAGGCCAGTTCTCACCTCAGGGCCTAGCAGTCCTGGATGACACGTCTGAGAGCAAACGGGGCAGAAGGGAAAGTGGCAGAGATGTCGGAGGATGGCACTGTGACCTCCTTGGTGGGCTATCCTCACATCTCACTTTCAGCCTTCCTGCTGCACTGTCTCCATGCGGAAACAGCAGGTTGTTTAACAAGAAAGAGGATGATTTTAGTAAAGCTCAGCCCCAGCTCCAGCTTCATTAGGGAGGAGGAATAGAGGCGAGACATCATAAAAGGCTTTCCCAGCTAAATGAGCTAGAAAGGGGCTATGAGCCAGTATCTCCCAGAGTATCCCAGCCAGAGATCACAGAACAAAGAGGTATGCTTTGCCTTGGGTGCCCAGGCACGAGCAGGGGCTTCCCTCTGCTGATCAGTCCCCACAGCCTGGGGCCCTCAAATCTGGGGACATAAAACCCAAAAAGGAAGGCAGGCCTCTTCTACTGCCTGTAGTTCTCTCTTTCCCCCCAGATTCCCACCCCAGCCTTCTGCCTCGTTCGGCCCTTTTTATAGAAACTTTCCCCAGGGGTCAATGCCCATCACCAAAGTTCTTCCTTCTCGACCGACCTTTTGAAACCGACATCCCAGCACAAGCTCCCAAAGTGAACAGCCACGCCCACGGCCACTCATTTGCATGTATTTCCATAATCGCTAACAATGCTGCCAGCTCTACATTTTTAAAAGCACTTTCTCCTACGTTATCTCATTTTATCCTCACAATGGGCCTATGATGGAGGGAGGCGGAGAAGGAATTGCCATTCCCATTTACAATGCAGAAACCAAGGCCCAGGAGGCAGCTTTGGTGAGATATATCCAGCAGCAGCAAGAGTCTGGGAGGCATGAATCCTGGATTCAAGGCTATTACTTCCTGCTGTGAGCCTTTGAGCAAGTCACTAACTCTTAATCAGTACTTATTAAAGTACTGGTGGTCTTTAAAATCACCTTGGATACATGTAAAAAATATAGATTCTAGGTCTCACTCCACAGCTGCTGAATCAGCATTTCTAGGGGTACAGTCCAGGGATCTGTTTGTTTGTTTTTTTTAAACTTTGAGATAGGATCTCACTTTGTCGCCCAGGCTGGAGTGCAGTGGCACAATCACAGCCCACTGCAGCCTCCACCTCCCAGGCTTAATCAATCCTCCTGCCTCAGCCTCCTGAGTAGCTAGGACTACAGGCATGTATTACCATGCCCCGCTAAATTTTTTTTTTTTTTTTTTTTTTTTTTTTTTTTTTTTTTTTTTTTTTTTTTGGTAGAGATGGGATCCTGCTGTTGCCCAGGTTGTTCTCAAACTTCTGGCTTCAATTGATCCTCCCACCTCATCCTCCCAAAGTGCTGGGATTAAAGGCATGAGCCACTGCACCCGGCCTGCTTTTTTTTAAGAGACAAGGTCTTGCTGTCAAGTCAAGGTTACCCAGATCATAGCTCTGGACTTCCTGCAGAAAAACATTGAGGTAAGGATTTTGAGTGGATCTGGGGAGATTCTAACTCTAAAGACTGTAAAATAAGAGAAGGTCCTGCCAGGCCAGAAAGCATGGGTGTGGGGAGCGGTTATTTGACTTCAGGAGGGTACAGTTCAGTACAGATCCTTTCAGCCACTTGAGTCCAGGCTCTCTTCTGAGACTTCTCATTTGTCAAATTTATTCTTTAATCTTCCTTTTGGTCCCTCCCCACCTCCTTTTGGTGTCTGGATCATGTTTGGTTCAACAGATTTCGACAGAAGCTAGACAAGAGCTCCTGGACAAGAAGTGGCATGATCATAGCTCACTGTAACTTCAAGCTCCTGGGTTTAAACAGTCCTCAGCTTGAGGCCTCCCAAAGTGCTAGGATTACAGGTGTGAGCCACAGTTCCTAGCCCAATCTGCATTTTTAAAAAAACACCCCAGATTATTCTAATATATATTAAACTTTGAGAATGTTTATCTTAGAGCCTCAACTGGTTCATCTATAAAATGGTAAGGATGATAACAAATATTTCGCAGGGTGATTAGTAAAAGGATTAAGTGATATAATACATTACAAGTCCTGGCACATACAAAAGGTCTCCGTAAGTGCAATTTGAATAGGAATTGACTGAGCAACAGCTTGGTGGTCCTACCCAGCTCACACCACACTCCCTTCAGATCCAAGTAACTTCTCTCTCCCAAGTCCAGATGGAGAAGACTGAGTTGGCTTGGATAGAGGCTGGTAATTAGGAAGTCCCCTAACAGAGGAAATGGGAGAAAGAATAGCCATGATCTTTCCTTTACAATTACATACTTCATTTGATCTTCACAAGCACTTTATGAGGGAGGTTAAGGGACTTATCTAAGGTCACACAATTCATCCATCTCAGTCAGGTTGTCAAGGCCTACAACTCAAGCTAATGGAAACTAACCATGTCCCCAAACAATGAAGCTGTTAAGGCAGAACAAGCCAAATTATGCAATTAGCTTGAAGAGAGGCTGGAACCCATTTTACCATAGCTTCTGCAGTCTCAGCCCATTCAACCTTAATTAATTCTGTTGGTTGGCACACAGGGGACTGTGAGTGTCTTGATGACGCTGACAGTGACTTGTTTACTTTGGCCTGCATCTTCAGAGCACACAAAACGTTCTCAGTAAAAGTTCATTAAATAAATAAAAGGGAAAGGGGAAAATTAATCAGGTATGAGGCTGTCTCCCAGAGCTCACAATGGAGATTTCTGAGCCAGGGTTTCTGAAACTAATGGTGAGTCTGAGAAAAGTAACGTTGTAGGTTGACTTCCAGCACACGCTTCCCTCCGAGTTTCTCCTTCCCTCACTTGCAGATCTTGTCCAGGAGCTGTTGTCTAGCTTCTGTTGAAATCTAAACCAAACATGATCCAGACACCAGAAAGAGGCGGAGAGGGAGGGAAAAAAAAACTAAAGAATAAATTTGACAAATGAGAAGTCTAAGAAGAGGACCTGGACTCAAGTGGCTGAAAGGATCCAGGTGCCGGACTGTACCCTCCTGAAGTCAAATAACCCCCCCACACACACTCCGTACTTTCTGGCCTGGCAGGACCCTCTCTTATTCTAAAGTTAGGATCTCCCCAGACCACTCAAAGTCCTCACCTCACTGTTCTTCTGCAGGAAGTCCTTCTTTCCTACCAACATCAGTTTTAATCCACGCCCTGTTTCAGCCACACGAAATCTGGCACAGTAACGGTACGTTTCCCTGTAGACGAGTACACTCAACCTTGTCCAGTCCTCATCCCACCCCAAGGAAAACTGGCAGCTTCCCCCAACTTTCCTTTGACCTCCATCCCTGCCTGTTTCACCACCACCACTTCTTTATGAGTTACCTTCAGCCCCTGCATGATTGGAAAAAGCCTCAGATCCTGACTCCTGGAAGGCCACAGTCTTCCAGGAGTTCCAGCTCTAGGCAGCCATTGGCAGGAATAGACTCTAGCAGTGATAACCCCAACACCTCAGAAGAGCTCAGCTTCTCCAGCTCCTACAGTTCATTTCTTTGGATCATCATGGCTGGTGTTCTGGGGATTTCTAAAGTCCTCTGCCTCTGCTTCCAGCATCCACATTCCCAAAAAGACCATCATAAGTAGGGGGCTTAGGACAGGGAAGCCAGAAGGACTTCCTGCAGAAGAACAGTGAAGTGAGGACTTTGAGTGGGTCTGGGGAGCTCCTAACTCTGAAGGACTTTAGAATAAGAGAGGGGCTAGGAGTTAGGAGAAAAAGTCTATTTCCAGTTTGCATTCTTAAGACAAGATAAACTTTCAAAGGGATGTGAGG